TGTGGGTGTGGGTGTGTGTGGGTGTGGGGTGTGGGTGTGGGTGTGGGTGTGGATGTGAGTGTGGGTGTGGGTGTGTGTGTGAAAGTCTTCTTTACACTAATACTGATACACAATCCCACACCCACACCTCACACCCACACCCCACACCCACACACCCCACACCCCACACCCACACCCCACACCCCAACTTCCTTTAGATCAGCTGAGAAATGAGAACCGTGTGGCATTATAGCAGTATGTGAAAAAATGTGGTGAATGAAAGAATTATTTGATCAAGTGTAGAGTATACGTATAAAGATAAGTGTAACATAATGCTGTACAATAATTCATTATTCAGAGCAACAAATAAGACAAAAGCGAGGACTTCCATTCTCAATAACGATATATATTGAACTATAAAACTGTGTCTTTGCGTCCTCTATGCCAGTTAGTTCAATTTATGTTACATATTCATGAGAAACATGTATGTATGTCTGTATATATAATTCTTAGCACATAATGTGCCTGTAGAATATTGCAACAGAATGTTTAGTTCTATTGAACTATGTATCTCGATATAAAAACATCATTACAAAGTGAAAATAATCATGCGACTTCAATATGCCGAAAATTTAGAGATATTTTTAGAATTCAAGGATTATTTATTTGCTTCTCATATCTTGTATTTTTTATATTTATTTTTCCAATGAAGTTTTTTAAAACACATTTGTGAACTGCAATATACGTGATATTTCGTCGACTAAAGAATTCATTTAGTGGGATCTGTAATTTCTAGATACATCCTAAGTGATTATGTGATAATAATTGTTTTCAATTCAGAGTAATATTCTTTATTATAGAGCATCAGAAACTCGATGTCGCTTGATAATGATAAGAAAATGAGAAGCTAGCTGTTTGAATTTTTATATAGGAGTGTAGATTTGACATCCCTCTATCTAATGAGAATATCAAAATAAAAATACATTGTATTGGTATGCCATTTGTATGTCTTCTCAGAAAAGATTTCCACAAACGACAGTGTCCAAAACAATTTGGTCCGAAACAATATCGTGATAAAATATGTTCCCCAGTCTCCTCTTTCGATTGGTGAAAACCGCAGGTCGCTAGCTCTTGCCATTGTTGAATTATTCAATTGACACCAACCCCTCTTTAATTCTGGCGCGGACATTAGTACATGATTTTCTAATAACTTTTCGCATCATGTCGATCTATGTCTAGGCTTATTGAATTACGTTGAAACGAGCTTATCGGATCAATAGATTACGCAGAATTCATTAAAAGAAAATGTTGTAATAAATCTAAGGAACACATTATAATAATTAACTTGAGAAAACACCGAGGAGCCGCTCTGTGGAGCGATTGCACCGCCACCACTATTTGAAAGTTTAACTCATATTTTTCGCCACCGCCAGTGTGTTTTTAGGGACAATGAACATCTTTGATTTCTCTTGAAAAGTTATATTGACAGATAGAAAACATATGTACGAAGCTTAAGATTTTGTTGGTCTCAAATCTTCTTCTGATATACTATTATTGATTGAACAGTATTCCGCATATTTCTCATATTCCCTTGTTTAATAGTTCATGTTATAAGTCACTCTATAACATATAAGACGTCAACAAAATTTGATCTGATGACATGATACACATTGAAGAAGGGAGTGATGAAAACTGATAAGTGGTGATATGGGAAAGGAGAGATGGAAAAATAAAAAAGTGATTAGGTAATATGTAAATAGGAGGTTAGTTCATAAATATACACAAATTCCTCTTCCATATGTAGTAGCTTATTCATCAGATGTAAATTATGAATTTGGTGTTGAATGAATTGTAATGACACGTACAGTTGGAAAACCATTAAGAAGTTCATCAAAAACAAATGATACGTGGCCAAATTAATCTATTGATAAACAAAAATCAATAATAAATGAACTTGTTGAATATATAGCTCAATTTCATAATAGTATTTCACGTTCAAATCAAATTGGAAATTATAAAATGAATGGTGAAATAGGTGCTGATAGTAATAAAATGGGTCCATGAAATAATTATAAAGATTTTTATAATGATCATTTAAAACGTCAAGTATCTTTTTTATTAAATGAAAATATATTTGAACCAGTTCGTGATGATATGATGAAATCAATAGAAGAATTTCAAAAATTAAATCTTCCATCATTTGATAATATGCCAAATGTATTTACACATAATGATCTTGGTGTTCAAAATTTAATTGTATCTGATGATAATAAAAAGAAAGGTATTATTGATTGGGAATGGGCTGGTTCATATCCAATTTGTGAAGAATATTTTCGTTCATATAAACCAATTATTTAAGATGATTATTTAAAAAATTATCTTTAGGATCAACTTGAACAACATCAAATTTCAACTCCAAGAACAATTCAAAATTTTTCGATTTTACAAAAAAATGTATGGTTTTCTTCAATCAACTGCTTCTTGGTATCTTACTAATTTAGCTAATCCTCAACATCCAACTGTTCAAAAAGAATTATTTAAATATCGAGATAAACTTAAAATACTTGTTCAACAAATCAGGGAAGAATTAAAATAAGTTTTTTTATTTTTACTTTGTTTTGTTGCTTTTTATATTTCTAACTTTATGCATTATTCAGCGATAGAATATCGGTTTTTTTTTCTTTTTGTTTTGTTTTTTATTTAAGAAATTCTCAAAAAATAATATTAAATTTGATTTATTTAGTCATTCGTCTTTCATTCTCTACTAAAGTAAATGTATGTGTCATTTATATCATCACAGAACAAGAAAAATCAACTGAGTCAGAGGTCGATCAGTGCAATATTATTATGCAAGAATATTAACAACCAGGGATCATACAGTCTACAATCATACTATTTTCTTTTTTATTGATCATTAGAACATTTTCAAACAATTCGACATAATATAACAAATTCTTTTATATTACTATTTTATATCTGAAAACAATAAATATGTCTTTCAAACAAATATATACATATATATATTTAATTAATTAATTATAGAAATATCTTATTATTTAATTTAATATCTAAATCAATCTTCCAATTGCTAAAGGTTAAGGTCTCAAACTGAAAATCGTTCGGCATTATGATTTTACAATAATCTCTAATATGTACACAAAAAGTCTCAATCAAATCCGTTATGTGATATATCGTACGAATCTATTATAGAGCATAACATAAGAGATTTGTTTGAGCAGCAAATATAGATTTTATGAAGAATTTTATATTTATATTATTAATATACAATCTGCAATAGATGTGTTATTAAATTCGTTTGTGTATGTCTTACAGATTAAGTGAATAAAACTTTTAAAAAATGCTATTTATACGTCACTATTCGGAAAGAAAGGGTTAATTATCAAACTTTGAATAATTATATTTGAATACAAATAAATTCTTCAAATGTTTTTTCTCTCTCTTGAATTTTTATTGAAGAAATGAAAAAGAAAAGGAAGTGAGACTTTATCTAATAAATATTCTTAAGAAATAAAAAGAAAATGAAATATTTAGAAATTCATTTAAATAATTCGATCGATAATAAATCGAAATCTATTCAATTCTCTGACATATATTTATAGAAATAAAATAGCAAGAGTAAACTATTATTCGTGGTTAACTTCAATTATTCGATTTTAATAAATTGTTCAAGCAACATTTTGTAAATTTAATCGTTAACTACAGTTATTATCAATAAGAATATTTATCTGAACAACAACAACAACAATAATTATATTTATATTAAATTTATTTGATAAAGATATTCTCTATATTAATTTATCTGATTTTACCTATTTATTAAATATGATTAATAAGATAACTAATATATCTATATTGAATGATATTGCTCTATTTAAGTTAATCGATTTTATTGTCTATTTTATTTTATCAAAAAGTTTTTTGTTTTGAACAAGAATTTTTTTTTTCTTTGAAAATCTTCATATTAATAATAAAAAGTTTTTTATTAGTTCGATGAAAAGAAAAATTTTTTCTTTACTTATGTTTATACAATGTTTTTTCAACATTTTTATGTATCAATTAAAGTAAAATTTATTCTTTCCTATGATTATATTCTATTGATAAATTTTCCTTGTTTCATATTGAAAAACTAATAAATTTAATAATAATTAGTTATTCAAGCATATTATTTATTTATTTCATTTTAAACAAATTAAAAATAAAAATATAAGAAACATATAACTAGCTATGTTAACAATTTCTATAGAATTTATTATTAGAAAATGATATTCAATATTAACAAATATATCAATATTTTCTTTCATTATTCAAATAAACGATTGATATATACATAACAAAAACCAAAAGATAAACCATTATTTTGACATATTTATATTAATGAAAATAATAAAATAAACCTATTTCATATAGTAGTTATTGACAAATCGCCAACATTGATTGATAACATACATATACATAAACATATTATATAGTTTATATAAATAGAATATTTATTTAAATAATTATTTGGTTTCTTATTCAATATTCGTCGTCGATTAACATTAAAAATATCAATTTAGATCATACAACAAACAATTTTATGTGATCATCAATATAATATCCTCACTGCTTATTAAGATTAGTGAGATGTTTATTTTGAAAAATAATTTATGAAAAAAATTTCATCGTCGTAGTCAAAGACAATAACAATAAGTTAAGATATCTGATCTATGTTGATAATCAATAAGATCTCAAAAATGTACTACACTCTTTTTTTTTTATTTTTTTTGTTCTTTCTTTTTACTCTATAGTTGTCAAATACAACAAGGAAGAATTTAACGCACTCTTTGCCCTTCAATTCTTTTTTGTTTTTTTGTTCTTGTCTAATATTTTATTGTTGAAATATTCTTTTACTCTCGTTTTACGTTCACATTCATAAGAGTTTGTTTTTAAATATAGTTGTATCGTCATCGTTTTATTATTATATTCGATAAAATATTTATTTTAATTAAGAAAATCGAACAATGATTGAAAACGTCACGTCTTCATCAACTTTCAAACGTACTGAAAATAAAACAAGAGTTCTTCGACGTTTTTTTAAAAAATTTCTTAATGATTGGTCATTTGATTTAGCATCAATGATTGCTTTTAATTTAATGGTTGCTCTTTTACCAATAGCTATAACACTTTTTGGTATATTAGGTCTCATTTTAAATGATCGTCCTCAAATTCAACAAGATCTGAAAGATAATATAATTCAATTATTTCCATCAGACAATACAACACAAGTTGCAATTAAACAAGTATGTTTATATTAAATTATGTTTAAATCAATATTTAACATTTTTTAAAATATTTATTGAATTAACCAGATTAGTCGAATAGATTTACTTTAGATTTATCGATATCGAAGATAAAATATAAACTAGAAACAAATAATTATAAAAAGAAAAAAAGAAACGTAAATATTATCTAAAATCGATAAGAATTATGTTTTAAATTTATTTATTAGAATAAAATTCAATTTATATATTCAACTATTCTATAATAAACAAGTTTTCAATAAATATTTCTCAACATGTTTTCATTTATTTTTATGTCGAAGAAATATTCACTTTGTTTTTTATCATCTGAGACATATCTAGGCTATTTGCTTTCTCCATGCAGTTTTTGTGCATTTTTAGACCTTTTTCAGCCAATGTTTTGTTAGAAAGCTACGATTTAGTTCAAAACTAATATCAGATTCGGAATCAGCATTAAAAACTGAGTCGATTTATATATGCTGTGAATAATTCTGAGAAAAGTTTTTTTTGAAAAAATCCCTGTACTCCCCCTCAGGGATGGTCTGGTCAATAATGATAATTTTTTCGATAACTCAGCCATTTCTTGACGGATCCTTCTCATCTTCGAACTCGACTGAGACATTGATGAGACCAAACTGTGTAGAAAATTTCATCATGATCTGACTCTCCTTTCGAAAGTTATCATGTATACGGCCGGACGGACATACTGACCGATTCTAGAGTGTACTCACTTTTTGAGTACACAAAAAGATAAAATTGAATATAATAAATTTATAAGAGAGATAAGAGACTTTTGCCTTTTCTCTATAAATTTTTCTCATTAATCAAAATTGTTGATGAAAAATATTTAAATATTATTTAAAACTTTAAATTAGTGAATAGTTGAAAAGAAAATATAGAATTTCTATTTTAAAATTTTAAATATTATTTATAAATGTTATTAATTCAAGATAATATTAATATATTTAATTATTTTTTTTTCTAATAAATATCTTTAAGAAATGTTAAACAGTGATAGAAATAGATAATACTATAAATAATTATTTTTAACATATATTATAATCATAGATTAATAAAACAAAATAAATTAATTTACTTTTTAAAAATCAATCATTTTTAATAGAATTCATTTAGAATAAATATTACAAATCGGAACATTTCATTATATCATATTATATTATAGAAGTAAATAATCATTTTAAAATATATCATATATTTTAAATAATAACTTTGATGAATTATTATCAAGAAAAATTGACTAGAACAATATATATATATGTCATCGTCCATACTAAGATTATGTCCAATCTCAGATTGGACTGAAATAGTCAGGCGAATTTAAGATTGGACTAGTCCAATGTCAGACTGAAAGATAAGTACGGCGAATCTCGGATTAGCCTAGACCAATATCAATATGAACCTAGACTATCTTCTAGTCGATGTCAAAAATGATGTTTGAAAGTGATGCACATATCAAAGAGATGACATTTAAGGCAGTGAAATAAGAAAATTTATTGAACTGAAATACTAGCGTGTAAGTGGGAGGAGGGGGAGGGGTGCTGGTGCGGGTTTGTGCCAGAGATGTCCATCGCGGCGCTGCCGCGCCGCCGCCGCTGCCGCTGCCGCTGCCGCGGTGGCGGTGGCGGCGCGGCAGCGGCAGGTTTTTAAAAAAAATCACCGCGGCAGCGGCGCGGTAGCGGCAGGCTTTTTAAAAAACCATCGCGGCAGCGGCGCGGCAGCGGCAGGATTTTTTTGGAGGACATTGAAAAACTGTATGAATTTAATGGAATTTCACGATTTACAAATGAAACGCCCTGATATTGAATAAATCTGATGGACTAGTACCCATATCTCTGGTCAAATATAGTCACAGCAGTGAAATTAGAAACACTTTTTTGAAAATCGGCGCGGTGGCGGCACGTTTATTTTATAATTCATCGCGGCAGCGGCGCGGCAGCGGCGCGGCAGCGTTTCTTTTATAAGTCATCGCGGTGCGGCAGCGTCGCGGCAACATTTTTTTATAAACCGCCGCGGCGCGGCAGCGGTGCGGCAGCTTTTTTTTCTAAGGCCGCGGCGCGGCAGCGGCAGATTTTCAGCCGCGATGGACATCTCTGGTTTGTGCGTGTGATGTAGGTACGAATTTGAATCTGGATCTTAATATTCTCTCCAACGATCCGCACACACACTCACACAAAGCCACTAACACCGAAGTACACACACCCATACCCTATCGATCACTATTACTAATGATCACATGATTTTCACTAACAATGACATCCGCAACTTTAGTCGATGTTTCGGGAGTCGATAGAACATTGCTCACAAATATGTTGGCAACCATTTTGATGAAACTGTAAAATGCCGAAGTCTGTATCGATGAATGGATAATAATACGAGATGAATATTATGATATCATTTATATTTTATCCATAGAAACACATCCACTATATATGGGATGTATAGGATACTCGAAGTGGAAATATTCAGAGCGGGAGAGAGCAAAAAACAATCCCTTGAACATAACGATAAAGAAGAGAGAAAACACAATGAATGAACGGAAAAAGCCATATATAGAATAGAGAAAGAAAGGAAAATACTCAGTTGAAAATGAAAAGAAAAGACTGAGTGAAGAATGAAAAGGCGATACCAAAAGAAGCGAGAGATATCCTCTCTATATCGTCATGAATTGACGAGATTCACAAATCATATTGACATGGGACTAGTCCAATCTTAAATTCGCCTGACTATTTCAGTCCAACCCGAGATTGAACGTATGTTTTATGCAATGGCGTAGACAGGAATTTCTGAGCGATGGGCCATTTCCCAGCTAAATTATTTTCTAGATTGGGCAACAATGGGCAATTCAACATCACTTGGGCTATAGTTTTTGTATATTTATTAGTATCACAAACATTATGTTCCCTGAAGAGAATTAAAAAGGAACAGTCATAAGTTTTTCCGATCCCTTACCCAAAAAATCAAAAGTGAAGAGCAAAAAAAAAACGTTTTTACCAATTTAATGGGCAATTACTATTGTCCGCAAAATTTATTGGGCAATAACTTTTGAACTATTGGGCAATTGCCCAATGGCCACCTCCCTGGCTACGCCACTGGTTTTATGTTTTATCCAAGAATGGCCTGAAAATATGTACGTCCAATGTGTCATCCGAGTATAGACGCGTTTAATCTTGGATCTCACATTCGTCTAGGCCAATCTGAGATTGGACCTAATCTTAGTATGGACGCTGACATATATATATATTAGTTTCTCGTATTATCATGAAAATAATGATATGTTTATTTTAAAATAATAAAAGGAAATGTTCAGTTTAGTATTAAAAAAAAAGCAAATTTGTAAAATGGTAATAAATAGAATAATAATAATAATAAATGAAAATCTAATCAATTATATTGAATGTATGTGTTAGGTAGTTGATCTTGCATTTGATAAATTATCAAAAGATGCTGGAGTTATATTAGTTATTGGTATTTTATTTGCAATGATTAGTTCATCTCGTTTATTTGTTGCTATTGATAAAACTCTGACTATTATTTATCGTTTACATGAACGTTCATTTCTACGTCAATATTTAATGGCAATTGCTCTTTTATTAGCATTCATTATGATATTTATATTAATGCTTGTTGCTAGTTCAGTACCATCTGCTTTAATGAATACAGTTAGAGGAGATGCCGCTCGTTTTGGTCTATTTATAGCTGGTATATTAATATCATTATCAATATCGTTTGGTCTTTTTCAAATGATTTATCGATTAACTCCAAATAAAAAGATGAGTTTAAAAAAAACATGGTGTGGAGCATTGATTGCTGCTATCATTTTAGAATTATTTATCATTTTATTTCCATTATATGTACGAAAATTTATGAGTAACTATGCCGGTAACACATTTTTATTTCAAATTTTATTTAAAAAATTCGTTTACTGTTTTTTACTTTTCTTTCTTTCTTCATTTTTTCGAGGTCAAATTGGTTTTGCAGTCATTCTTATTATCTTTTTTTATTATTTTGCTATTATACTTATATTTGGTGCTCAAATAAATTCTTACTTTTTTGAAAATAATTCTCCATTGAAAGATACTCTTGGTACATATATTAGTCAAATATATCAAGAGCATCATGATGAAAACATTACTAATTCTTCATTTAATGAAAATAATAATCAACAAGATTTATCAACTAATAATGAACATAATCAAATAAATAATGTTCGATGGATAAACAAACTGTGGCCATTTAAAAGACGATATTCTATTGAACCACTATCACAATCAAATAATTCTACTTAGAATAAAACAAACTTTTATATTGCTTTGTTTTTATTCTGAATTATATCGTTTTAGTTTTTTTTAATATAAACAATATTTATTCATGCATTTCAACTTTTTTTTATTTTGCTTTTTTTCATTAAAATTTCTCTAATTAATCAAGTCGATTTCATAACATTTTTATATTATAAATAATCATTCAATATTTTAAAATTTATTTTTATTGAAAAAAAAATCATATTGAATTTGTTTCACTGACGACAAAGAAAGAAATTCTTCATTTAAATTATTCGATTATTCTTTTATATTAACCCTTTCGAGGCGATGTCGCCCACCGGTGGGCAACGCTATAGTTTAATGAGAAACTGTATAGAAAAGCACTTTTTTTTTGCTTTTTTTCTTACGCAGTAGGTTAAACATAAGATGTCATTTCTTCTGTCTTCAGTACTTTATTTGAATCCTTTATTTCATAGCATAATGCTTATCATTAAAACACTCAAGACAAAAAATTTTATCACAGTCAGAGCAGAAAATTTTTACTTTCTTTGCTGCCGCATTGCTCGCTTCTCTTGACTGTCGTGCTCTTCCCTTTGCATAGCAGCCAGTGCACCGTCTGCCAACATTGCGCGTAGATCCTTCCTTTTCTTCGAGCTTGTGATCAGCGAGTTTGCGCTTCGAATGACTTGTTGACTGTTGTCTCGGGCCAGGTTTCAGATCCTCGAATGGTGCACCAAGGAATAAAAATCGCACCAGACTTTCACGAAACTGCAGCATGGTTATATGGCTTGTGTCATAATTTTCCTTATAAATCAAACAGGCATTAACTATTGCCGTTCGAAATAACAATTCAAATGCCACCTTTTCATACCATTTTACAGATCGTCGGAGGCATGTATAGTATGTTGAGAGCTGATCAGATAAATCTATACCTTGTTTTCCTTCATTGTAATCGAGAACAACTTGTGGCTTCATGATGTGTTCATTTAATTTACTGATTTTTCTCGTGTCCACCACAGTTACTGAATGCGATGGCTTTGTGAATATCATCAAGACATCTCTTTTATCTTTCCACTTGATCAATTTGATGCCATGTTTGCTCTGGAGCCCATAAGCTTCACCACGCTTGAGCTTTTTCTTAACAACTTCATGTTCTAATCCAGCACGATTACTTCTGAATGTTCCAATCAGATACGTATCGTTTTGTGATAGATGTTTTGCAAGAGAAATAGTTGTAAAGAAGTTGTCAGCTACTACATTTCGATAGCATCCCAATAGATAGTGGGTGGGAGTGTGGGTGTGGGCGGGTGTGTGGGTGTGGGTGGGAGTGTGGGTGTGGGTGTGGGTGTGGATGTGAGTGTGGGTGTGGGTGTGGGTGTGAGTGTGAAAGTCTTCTTTACACTAATACTGATACACAATCCCACACCCACACCCACACCTCACACCCACACCCCACACCCATACTCACACCCACACCCACCCACACCCCACACCCATACTCACACCCACACCCACACACACCCCACACCCACACCCCAACTTCCTTTAGATCAGCTGAGAA